GCGCGCGCGCGCGCGCGCTATCTGAAGCGTTCGCACGCGCAATCCCGATTACACCGGCGTCGTCACTATTACTTGAACAGTTACACTTTCTCTTTGACGTTCTTCTCTCCGCCGCCGAGGAGAGAGCAGACCGCGAGCGGGGGAAATGATTGTTGTTGAACGGTCGAAGCGGTTATTTAAAATATGCACTCTCTCCCGTTATATTAATGATCTAACTAGCGCGAGGCAAAATAGAAACGCTCTTAGATAATATTAATATTCCGTGCGTGGCATAACTCGAGCGCTGCGGCCGCTTCGTTCCTTTCCGCGCAAGCAACTTCTTATTTTCATTAAAAAATTTGTATTTCCATTTCCAATTTACATTAAACCTCAATGTCAAATTTCAAGTAAATTTTAATGAAATTATTATGTGAAAAGCAACAACGGATCGTCATTGCGAAAAATCATTTCAGACACCTAACGTCACGCGAGCGCAATTATTTTCATGCATTATTCGCTCGCGCGAGCATACGTTACAATGTTATAATTCAGAGCGTGACACGAATGCAATTTTCTATCGGCGATTTATTCGAAATGCATTTCGAATGCGCCAGGTGCAATTGCGTGGGTTAATTAGGGAGCCGATCGAACGTACCGGTGTTTGCGCGCAGCGCGCGAATTAATGAATGCGTAAACCAGTCGCGCACCAGGATTTCGAAACGAGGAAAGCTCGTCGAGATCGAGATACGGAGGTCCCGCCGCGGCCTTGCGCATTGAAGACCGCGATAAGAGAGGTGATTGACCGCGTGTCGGCCGCCCGCGACTTTCTTTCAGCGCAAAGGACACGCGCTACGCAGCTGAGAATTTCATTGTCTCCTAACGAAGGAAAATCGCGATGCACCTGTGAATGGGCGAAAGACTCTCATCTTTAACACCTGAGAAGTGGCACGCGATTGAGAAAATATTATAAATTGTAATATATAAGTATATTTTCACGCATTTAATTATAATTATAATTTCTAATAAATCACAGTGGATTATTTAAAAAATTCATGAGTCCCAATTGTCCGTCACAATTCATCGCTATATACAATTGACGAGAAATCTGTTCACTCGCAAAACGTTTTATTATCTTTAAAAAAAAAGAATATCGGCTCTCAACTTACGAGGTCAATAGCGTCGTCGCGAATGCGATTCGCAGAGCGCATCAATGCGCTTAATTACTGGCGCGCGGCGAGTAATGCGCGCGAGGACGCTATTGTTTCCCGCGGGGAGAGAAGAGAGAGCAGATTTAATTATCGCGGAGCGCGGTATTGTCATATATTCGCTCTCGTAAATCACCGCCGCCGCCGCCGCCGCGATCTCACACGTCGAAATGACACGCCGCTTGCTAATGACTCGGCGCTCTCGCGGCGGATTAAATGCGTTTTTGCTCGACGCGAATAAAAAAACGCGGGAAACGGAGAGAGCGAAAGCTCACGGCTCTCGCGGGAGAATTGCACTTGACTATGTACTTATCTAGCGCTTTCGAATATTCTTAGATCGGCTTGGCCGATTGATTCTCGCAGATTCATCCTTACGAGCGCGCGCCTACCGAGAAGCGATTAAGAAGGAAGTCTTCCCGAAGGACAGTTCCGACTATTGCGAGTCGGCGATTCCTTGAAGATTGCGCACGCGACGCTAATCAACGTCTGCACTTTCGTCAGCAAGCTTTCACGTATGACTTATAGTTTTGCGTATAACGCGATATGACTTTGACACGACGATTCAAATTAATGTAGATTTTAATTCAAACTTTTGCAAAACTTTCACGTTTGACCATTGCCGTACTAAGTAAAAAATAAAAAATACTTTTGATTAAAACAAAAAATTGTACATTAAATTGTCGAATATGTTTGCTTTAGTTCATTCTCGATTTTTCGATGTTTACAGCAGTATTTTGGTGCGGCGATATATCGTGCTTTCTTTTGTTGCGCAAAGAAATAATCATGTTTCATGCGATTCACAAAGACGTAGCACAAGGAAAGCGAGTGTGTGTATACTTGAACCGGCATGTTCTTTCCGTACTTTTCAATGACGCATTCCGCGAGTACACGTGTCCGCCGTGAATTGTACGCTGCGAATGCGACGCATTTGCAATAAGTTAAGTGCGTTAGTAAAGGCGACGATTCCTCTACGAAGAGTTGTGTGTTTAGAAATAGTTATTGCGTGTATAAAGCCCAAAGTTATTGCACGTACAGCTCAACTTCGATGCATGTATAAAGATACACAATGAAATGACGTTGAAATGAGGTAATAATGAAACGAGAATATCACAAAGAGTAATCGTAATCATCACAAATACGAAACACAGCAGACAACGCAACTCTGATTGATTAATTAATAGCACCGTTTCTATTTTTCTACGCTTAGATTCCAATAAAGTATCAAGTAATTGATGTGCACTTTTAAATGAAACTTAATTTTTTTCCAAATGACGGAACTCTCTTATTTTCCAGTTAAGGAAATCTGGCATTATTTTTCTTGCTATCGATCTCTTGTGATTTTCCACTGGCCAATGGCTTGCGATTCTTGCAAATTGTTTGCGCAAACAACACACGTGGCACGAGCCACGCGCGCGTACGTGCGCTCGAACGAATCTACCAACAGAGATAGCGACGCAGTGCACGTCGCCGTCCTTGAAATACCGAATTCGTCCGCCGCATCGACATCGACGGACACGTGATATCATTATGCATATGCGATCTATGCAGATCGTACCGTCGAATTGCGCTCGAAAGCATAATTTTCCGCCGGTCGAAAATTTTCCGTCACGATAACGCGATAATTGAGCTTATTCTCTCTTGATAAGCGTTTTATTCGTGGCTGCATAGTCAAACAGCATTATAAAAAAAAAAAATACATTGCCGCATAAGATGCAACGAAACAACGCACTTTGTGCCAACTACTCGTAAAATTGACTCGAAGTCTTGCGACTGTAGTGCGCAATAGCGGCCGATAACACGATGCATCCTTACTCCCGTTGCGCACATACGTGCCGATAATGCATTACCAATAAAAAGAAAAAAAAAAAGAGAGAGAAAAAAATTACGGCGAGTCGATTGCATCGGGATATTCATAACGAACTGCGAAGAGGAGGGGAAAAGGTGGAGACGTTCGACGCGGTGCGGCGAGGCCGGGTTCGCGAAGTTGCATAAAAAGTGAAGGTGACCGGCGGTGATTCACGGGGGCTGATGCCCTCGTTGTCTGGCATTCGGTTTATGGAGGACAGTGTGGGAGAGGAGGTGAGCAACAGCAGCAGCAGCAGCAGCAGCAGCAGCAGCAGAAGGAAGAGAAGGAGGAGGAGGAGGGTCCTTGCCAGCCGGCCGGCAGCACCAAGAGCGGACTGCTCTTTGTTTTGGCTGAATCGCAACCGACGCGATTCCAAGTAATGTCTCTCTTTCTGTCCCTCTCTTTCTTCTTCTCTGTCTTTCTCTCTCCGTTCCGATGCGTATCTCGTTACGGGTTCGACCCGGGGCCCCCGGCCTGGCGAGATCGGCGGTAAATCATTTTTTTTCCTCAGCGCGGCCGCGAAATCGCGTGCGGAGGCCACCAGTGGCCGCCCGTCGATCCGCGTCGCGTCGCCCACGCACCGGCCGAGAACGACGAGCTCACGCGAGAAAATTCGCGTCCCTTGTTATCGCAGGGCGCCGAGGGAAAGGGGAGGTATACTGGGAGAAAATTCTTTTTATCTATCCGTTCTGGAATTACATTCGCGCTGCTCCGATTTCAAGATACGAGTATGTCGTAATGTCGTGTCGAATGACAAAGAACAGGCGATGGAGTTTTTCGCGATGTCGTAAAAAGAATGATTGCCTGCGTAATGTTTTCGGTTTAGCATTCTTCGTCGTTACGTCGGTCTCTTCGTCTTCAACGCGAATCGATGTTACCATCGCCCTCCCCCTCCCGATAAACGCTCACCCCAAAGGCAACGATTATAATTCGCGGAATCTTCAGCGGGAAGGCAGAAATCGATAGCGACCGTTTACTGAGTTTAGTGAGTTGCGGCGTTCTGTGCTTGCAGCGACTATAGATACGTAAAGATAAAATGTAATCAACACGCTCAAAACGATAAGTTTGTCCAATTTAAAGCCCCTTTTTCCTCGAAATGAAAAAGAAGATTGTACAAGATTATTATCGATTTCTCAATCTTTCATTTCATAATCTTTTATCTAATAAACAATTAACGATAAACTTGCGCAATAGAAAGTCGATTTTTCCGTTAGGAATGAAACAAAAAGTCATTGCTTATTTATCAATCTTTAACATTACGTATTTTTACAAACAAGTAAAATCCCGTTCAATTAAACTCTGATTAATTAACCGCGGAAAATATAATGTTATTTATCCGCATCTATAGAACATATTTTAATTAGATCAAAAATACACGAAAAAAAGTTAAGTGGACAATGCATGAATCGATTAATCACAATTATAATTAATTAATTAACTCATTTTTGAAAACTCGATTTTAACTATCACGATGCTGGAACATTTTTGTCGGAGAATAATCGACTCTAAAGTAATTCAAGCATTCCATCGTTGAAAAGATTGCGAATTAATATTTCGATGAAATTCATACTTTTTTTCTGACATGCTGAAAATTGGCTGGCAATGTAAAAGAAAATTTTCGGGACTCCGAAAATTCTCTTTCTGCTGGCATATTCGTGATTTCATCACGCGACATGAGACGCTAGCCTAACAGCGTTGACAGAAAACCATCGATAAAGTGTCACCACATGACACTCACGTCGCGGACGCGCGCACGACGCAATCTAATCGCTCTGCTCGTCCGCTCCGAGCGACTCGGTACATTCCGAAGGCACTCGCCGTGGTGGAAGGGGATCAAGTGGAGGGGAATGATGATTCTCTGACGCGGAGGTAGCCAGGGGATGGTGGTAGTGGTAGCAGTGAGTAGGTAGGGGATACTGCCACACAAACCGAGTATAAACCAGGCGTAAACTCATTCCCCTCTCGACCTACGTTCTCACACGTGAGGTGCACGTACGGGCGCACACACATAGAAGGGCAACCCCACCGGCTAGTCAGCCTTCTCGGCATCGAAGCCAGACGACATTGGGGCCAAGACAGCGCGCAGCAGTCACCGTCAGAGTTTCGTGCGGTGCGCGCAGTTAGTCGGCAGTTTGGCTTCGTAGCGAGCGGACGTGTGCTCTCCGCTGTCTCTCTCTCTTTCTCTCTCTTAACGCGCAAAGGAGTCTGCATAGAGAGATATATATACATATATATACCACTCTTATATACACGCCCGTCGTTGTTACGCTCACGCAGTGCATCGACGCTTACGCATCGGATCGCGTTGTCATCATCGCGAGCTCAAGTTCAAGTTCACGTCAGCGGGAGGCAGGAGGTGCCTCCAGTGGCAATTAATTAATCCCTTCGGAGAAGTGTCCGCTTTCAGTACTTTATCGAGTGTTCGGTGGTAGCAGTCTCGAGGGGTTTTTTTTTCTCCGAGATTCGTGTTACGGGGACGACTGTTACGTCGCTGTGACGGTCGCGCTCGAAGAGGAAGTTCGACGAACGGAGCACCGCGTGCCCGTTCCCGTTTCGACGTTCATCGCGATAGTTCACGGTGCTGGAGGACTGTAACACTTGACTGTTCGCGCAGAATATAATTGGCAGAGGATCGACCGTCAACGACGAAGTGGATCGCTGCCCCATCGTGCGCTCCGAAACGACGGAATCTTTCAAGATTGGTGAGTACTTTTCACTTTTCATTTAGTCCTTCAGGATAATGATGTCACATTGCGAAATTGTGACTTCACGCTAACTCATTCACATTCAAGTATCAAAAAAATTCTTGCGAAAAGTTTTAAATCGATAAGAGAATATTTTTCGAGAGTGTTGCGCGATTTTGTCGAGACGAAAAAATTGGCGAACAAAGCGCGATTCTCAATTCATTTTTCCGAAATGAAACAAAATATCGAGAAATAATGTGTCGCTGTTCCGGAAACAGGAAACGATTGAAATTTAAAAATTGTTTAGAAATCTAACGTTTGCCGTCGTCGTTCATTTCGATTCGCGACGCAAGATCCATTCTGAAGCACGTGTTTCCGGCAGGTGAAACGCGGCGTGTGCGAAACTCTCGAGTCACGATCCGTTTTGACAGCTCTCTCGTTCGTCAAGATCTCTATTAGCTCGCGATTAAGTGGCTAGAGATCGCTCTGACTTGCTAACATCGCAAAGTCAATTTATTTCAACTGTAAACTACTGCCTGATCTTCATTATGATTTTTTTAATCGGCGTGAAATATTTTTTCGCAATTCAAAGTGCTGATCAAAGTGACATTTATCAAATCTGTTACATCACACGTAGTAAAACGTGCAGAAAATGAAATATATTATTTTTTCGCACGATTTCGAAACTGCAAACCGATAGCTATAATCGGCGATTTAAGATGCTCTCGCGCAAATGACGCAACGCCGATATATTCCGCGATACGTGCTCGTTCTCGTGTGCATCCATTGTCTGTCGTTGCATATCTTATCGGTGACTGTCGATTCACGGCTGAATCACGGATGCTCGAATAACGCAGGTGGTAGATAAAAGCTCGCATAGTTTCGAGAAATGCAATTAATACCGCAACTTGGTGACGTCACGAGGATAAAACGCTTCTCGTCGCTTTGTCGCTTCGGGGCTTGCGAAAGTTCATCGTTGCAACGTGTCTGTCGGCGTTGCGTCACTGCGTGGCCGAGAGACGGCGAGACGTCGGCGCTCTCGAAGAACTCAAATTCATTTCTCGCAGTGTGCGAAATTGCGAATGCAACCGAGCGCCGCGACAACCGCTGCCGCGGTGCGAACGCGGTTTGCGAAACGCGCGTCGCACGATCAAGGATCAAGGTCGAGATTTTATTTCTGTCCTTACGTCTTCGCCATTCGGATTATGTGAGAGAAATCGACGTTATTTCGATTATATCGAGCTCTCTTTCTCTCGCTTCTTAGCCACGACTTAATTATAATTTAAAATCAACAGTCGGCCATTCTGTGGCGAATTTGACTAATTAAAACATATTATGAAACGGCAATAGTGGGGTTTTAGTAGTCATCTGAGCTATCGCGATCGATTTACGGAGCCGTATTCTCCACGTGACGGCCACGAGAAACGATCGATTTGCGATCCTCTCGCAAAACGGTAACGGTCTCCCCCTTTCCCCGCCCCTCTTTCTCTTGTTACAACGAGTCGCGGACTCCCCCTTCTCCATCGATCCTCCTCCCACCTTGCACCGCTCGCCACTATAGCTCTCTATCAAAGTGGGCCACGGCCCAATTTACAGAACTCTCTCAACTTCGCGACGCAAACCGTCCGCGTAATCGACTTCACGGACTCCGGTCGAAGGGCACGCATCTCGCGCCGGAGTTCTCGCACGGAATTCGATCGCGCGGAATAGTCGTATCTGTCGCACGAAAAATCGAAAAAGATGGAAAAAGAACGTACGTTGAATCGTATCATCGTAATCGCGCGATCGTTAGACTAATAATTAAACAGATAATTAAATAGATAAGTAAATTATATAGCTGTCTCGATAACGAGTTACAGACGCGTTAGAATAAATCGTGGGCGATATCACGGATAGCGAGAATCGCGATAAATAAATAGCTTTTATCGATGACAGTGTGCATTCAATGCCGAGAGAGAACACTTCTGGAACTCGGAGCTGACAATTCTGAGCTCTGATTGCGCTAAAAAGATTCCCGTGACAAAAAAAGATCGTCTTATCTTATGTAGATATTGTGTCTAGCTGGGTATTGTCGCGCGTCACCGAGCGGATTAGCGGTATCTGCGCCGTTTAGCGGAAATGCGCGTCGTCGCAGGTGTTGCACTGTGTAACGCGAGCGATATCGCAAGTACGGCTACCGCTCGTTACGGTTCTCTCGTCTGTATGTGCATGTGTGTGTGTGTGCGCGTGTGTGTGTGTGTGTATGCACAAGCACGGATATATACCGGCGATATCTAGGTACATACGTGTCGTCGCGTCTCGGACACTGGATTATACGTTGCGTCATTGGCCGCTCATCGATCATTACAGTACAAAGAGAGAGAGAGAGAGAGAGAAGAAGAGGAGAGAGAGAGGAGAGAGAGAGAGAGACAGCGAGAGAACGAGAGAAAGACGGTATTATATCTGTTCGCGCCGCTCTATTTCTTATTTAAACGATATCGACGGCCGACGTGACAACCGCAACCACCAGGGAATTTTAAGATCGTCCTGTTCCTGCGATCAATCACGCGGTACGACGCAGTTGTTGAACTTTCAATCAACGATTGTTTGTCGGACGTTATTTTTTTTATATTTAAAAAAACATGGCAATAATTATTTCGAAACATGTCGACACCAATGTTAACGCCGCGGAATTAACATTGTGTCATTTCTCTTGCGATCATTCGAAACGACGCGGTCGTTCAACACCTCGTCGAATTCGCTGATCTTAATTTTAATATAAAAAAAAAAAAATACCGAATAAATATTTTAACAATCGAAAAGTATGGATAACAATATTTCAATGTCCGTATTATAAATCGCGGCGGGCGTTGCGTCATGAATGACCGCCGATTCGAGGCTCGCCTCTCGGGAGACCGGGCGACCGAATTCCGCGACGATGCCGCGATCCGACGCAACAGCGACGGCGGTTTATCGATCATATTAGCAAATATCAGACTCCGTTGTTCGCGCCTGCGGTGACCTTTTCTCGCTCGTATTATGCAACGAAGGTGAACGGTCTAACATAACAGCCGACGCACGTGTTGCAGTCACGTGGCGAACGGGACGGGACGGCGCGGCGCGCGGCCGCAACACAACACAAGGCGAATTGCGCGAGCGTTGCACGCGCTGTGTGCTAATACGTTGCATCACGGACCGCGTTGTTTCTTAAGCGACTTTCACACCGTCGGTCGGGCCCTTAGGAACCTTACTGCGATCTTGGAATTTAATCGCTAATTAGCTGTCGAACCGCAATGCATGCTCGTCGAAAATTTATTACCGCCAATTAATTAAATTAAAATTTCACTTTAATTTAGTGTCTTTTAGATTTCGTCAAGATAAGATCGATTTCAAAATCTCTCGTCGGAAAGAAGAAGAATAAATATTTTATATTTGTTGTTTAAAACGATAAGATATTATGAAAGTATTATGTTTTCTGAAAATGATAATTCTCTCGGAGCAATAGAGTAAATAAATAGAGCGAGGAAAAAAATACATTGATCACATGTTATAATGTCATCTTGCGTATTTATTACATAACGGAGATAAACACTTTTGTCCGCGCGTAAAAGCCTCGCTCGTTACGCGCCCGTGTCACGTGTAACTGGAAGAATCGTCACAGATCTCACGTGGAGTGCGATCTCGCCGAAACGTGCGACAGCGATTAAAATTCGACCATACTCCGAGCAAATATTCGAATCGTGATCGAAACAGGAGGACTGCACTGTAAGACGTTACTTCCGCTATTCGATCCGCAGTCCATGCACGACGTGTCACTCCGAAACAACACAAGGACTCGGCGAGCCACGTGTAACGATCATGTTTATTTTGATCCACGAGCAGTTTAATCTCACTCTTTTCCTTGTGTACTCATCGACGATCACGTAATTAAAAATTCGCAACCTTTCCAATTGGTCAATTTTTATATAATTTTTATATAATCTTTATATGCTTTTAAACGTTATATGTAATTATTCAGAATGTTTTTACAATATTAAGGAGCTCGAAAATTTCTGAACAAATAGTCACATTTAATTTAAGAAATTTTCACAGGATGATTAAATCATTGAAGGAAAGATCGGATATTTTATTTAAGCAAATTACGAAATTGGAATAAAAATTTTTTTTAATAGCTAGAAAAATCCTTGTGATTCTTTGGATCCTTGGGCACTAATGAGCCACGTGCGATATTTTAAGAATCAGAAAACATCGAGATGTGGAAATGAGTGCCAATCAGAATTCCGGTGGGGCGACTCGTGCGAGATAATTATAAGCGGGGGGAGCTTGGAGCGGAGTGTCCGGAGTCTACAATGTGTAGGAGCTACACGCGCTCGTCTCGTGTAATTTGGTCTCTCGCTTCTGCTGTCCCCTCTCTATCTCTCCTTGCCGCTCTGGATCGTATCAAGCCGACCGCGCCGCGTGACGCACGATTATGTAACGACAAAGCGTGCCTCTGTAACGCGACTATAATACAACTATACCGGGTGTCCCCGGTCAATCGCATCGAAAAAAAGATCCTCTCCCGGCACTGCTCATCTCGTCGGATCCTTATCAAGCGCGCGGGAGGAGGCTTCGGAATCCTCGCGATTACGATCTCTCTCCAAGGCTCGCGATCTCGTTGTTGCAATTCGTAAATTTCGCACGCAGAAATTTTTTTCTTTCCCGTCGACGGACCGATTGACGTTATCGCACGCGCGCGCGGAAGGCCCAGTTGCATAATGCCGCGGGAAACGAAATCGGAGAGCGACCGGTTCGAAATGCCTCGACGGAGGCCGATAACGGTATCAGTGCTCGCTTCTGTTACGTGAACGCTGACCGCAAGAGTCGTAACACGCGCGCACGACTGAACGGATATCGGGTGGCGGCTCGACTCGACCCGCCTCGTTCCTGTCTCGACATTGTACGCAGTCACATGTACACACAAACACGCACACGTGCACGCAATTACGTATACGTGCGTCCGTGCGTTTAAGTTCGTCGTACCCCGGGACTATTTTCGG